TTATCAGCTTGGTTAAGCTACTTGGTTTATAACCAAGGCATGACAAAGATTCTAAATCTGCATCGTAAAAATTCCCAAGTTCAAATATGCTAACATTTTTTCTTGTTGTCCTCCTAAAACAGGTGAATCAATCGAAGCCAAATTGGCGCACCTTGGCTAATTGGGAAACATTACAAGAAAGTAAACCAATAAAGTACTAAATGAAATTGGGTCTGCCTAACGAGCGTCCATTAAAATGTATTTCAAGTGTTAAATTTTTAAAAAAGTAAAATTAGTTAAAAACTTATATAAATGTAAAAAAAAAAAAGTAATACTTGTTAGTATGACTATATTCTATATACATTGTAAGTTAAATGAAATTTAATTGTGTTAACAAGTGCTGCATCGGGCACCTATTAGAAAAAACTAATGAAATCTATATCTATATGTATTCAAGAAGGGGTTTTTAGCAGAAACCCTCTCAATGCCTTCTAAACTTCTCATTCTTTTTTCTAGATTTTTGTATTTATTTTAATACATAAAAGTAGTGGGTAACCAACCCTATTACCAATCAAATTGAAATTTAAAATATTCCCACTATCTCTTAACTCATTTTACAACCACTCCTACAAATCCTCTCATCATTATCCCACGTTTATCAAATTGAAATTTAAAATATTTCCACTATCTCTTAACTCATCCTACAACCACTCCTATAAATCCTCTAATCATCATCCCACATTTCCTCCCACGTTTCTCACTTCAATTAAGAGTCCACTCCAATTTAAGAATTGTACCCCAATTAAAACTCCTCCAAACATAGAATTCTCATTCAATTTTCTTGCATGCTCATTCGTATTTTTTGGTTAACCAAAACAAGAACCTATTATCTCTTTCATCTTTCTTGTGGTGTCAATCTTAGTCTTTAACTTAGTTTCATCATGGAATATGCCCGCCTACAAGCATTTCAACAACAACTAAATTTCAAACTTACAAGATTGCAAATGAGGAAACATTTGCTTAAAAAATGTAACGTACACCACAAGGATTCCACACACCAATTGGAAAAGCTTCAACAATTTTGCGCTGACGAAAGAGAAATTTCAAATCAAATTCGAAGGACAAAATTCAAGCTACACCGTTTAAAACGTCGTTCACATCAAATTAAAAATTCCGGTACTGTGTATTCTTTAAATATTGACATTTCCATTGTAATTTTGGCATTTCAAATATTATTCCCAATATTGTAATATTTTTTATTATTTCCAATACTATAATATGTCTATAATTTTTTTCAACCTTTTTACTGATCAAGTGAATTCCCCCACTCTCTCTCTCACTTTCTTCTTTGTTTTTGGTTCTCTATTGATTTTGCTTTTTTTTTTAGCAGTTATGGAGGAGATTATGTGCAGAGACTTCAACAGAAATCAACCATCTTGCAGAGAACTGGAAGTATATTCTTGCCAACTTAATTTTTCGAGTCGGTCCCCTCTGCCCCTCCTTTTTATCATGTTTTGCTTTTCTTTTAAGGTGATTTAGTCTTTTACTTTCTTTATTTTTTCTCATTCATGTTTTTGTCAACCTTCATGTTTTACTTTCTTTTTGTCATGTTTTACTTTCTTTATTTTTTGGGTGGTGTTTGCTGTAGAAGTTTATTGAAAACTTTCCAAGATTTCTCAGCACAACGATTTCGAATATCTGCAAAAGTTATCATCATGATATTAAATATCTGAAAAGTGCTCCACTGAGTTCAATATCATCTTAGTACCTTCACGTGTCAAAGACCCATTCTTATACCACAACATCACCATGTAGCCACTTGCATCCACTGGATTAGGAAAAACGTGTCCTTCTAAGCTTGGATTATGTTTAGCGGTGATGCCAAAGACCTAACGATAAATACATGAAAAAAAAATCCCAAGGGTCATAATTATATCGAATACCAGAGATCAAGAAACTAACTGCATAAAGGAAATAATCCTGACTCATATTTCACCGCTTTACTGTTTGTTAGACTATGTTTTGGTTTTTGTTTCATTCTTTCTTTTCTGTGCACAATATTTCATGCCTTTTTGGCTCTCTAAAAAGATGTCCTTAATGCAAACAAGATCTTCTCCCTTAATTCTGTAACAAAGGCGGCATTTTGATTTTAAGGCTTTACCAATAATTGTGGTTTAGAAAAAAATTGTTCACCATTTGCGCAACAAAATTGTTCGCCATCTGTTCGTGACTCAGGTTTTCCAAATTGAGAGGATTTCCTTTGTCTAGATATGATGAGTGCAAATAAGACAGAAAATGCTCCAATGTTAGTGAATCTAAAATTGCTTTCGAGTATAACAGGAGATAATTCCAAAGTTTTCACAACATTAATCGCGACTACTCTTGATCATGTTGAAGTTCGGAATCAGAGTATGATTTGACAAGCAGATGAACACCAATAGGTTCATTAACTTAAATACTGTCAGAGAAAGACAGCTTTTTAACTAAATGAATGCATAACTTTTTTTTGCTAAACAAGCTATATAAAGTAAAATTTTCTGGAAAAGCAATAGCAAGACCCGTAATAATTCCCACGCAAAACCTTAATTCCTTTCAAAACCTACTGAATGATTGACATCATGAAAATGCATTTTATAAAACCAAGCAACCTGAGAGGGAAGTAACACTGGAGTTTTCAATGCCACTCATAGAAGAACATTTACGTGTGAAACTGACCTGAAAGGCCATTAACAGCTTTTGATGTTACGATCAATAATTCACAAAAGTCCATCAAGTTTTGCAGCTGAATGATTTCAACCAACAAGGATCTTCAACAGATTAGCATAACCAATTAGTACCATTTGAAAAATGAATGAGCACAATATATTCAGCACCGCTATCTCAAGCTAAGTGGAATTAGATTTAAACCTGAAGCAAAAGTTCAAAGGACCTTCTGCTGCTTCTCAAAAAGTCTGTGCATATAGATAACGAAAAAAAGAACAGGGACCAAATAGCGGAAACTGAAATGGAATCATGTGCTGGAAGAGTGTGCATGCGGAAGCCCGATAGGTAGGCCAAACACCTATCAACTACTTGCATGCTAAGGACCGTTTGAGGTTGCTGTACTTTATTAAAAAGTATTTAATTAATACAAATTTCATCACAGTATTTATTAATTATTTATCATATTGTTTAGGTGTACACTTATATGAGTATTTTTTATTTGATAATTTATAAATTTCAATTTTTATTTATTGCAACACAAAAATTGCTCTAAAAACACAAATCTTGAGTTTATTCTATAAATGTTTCATTGGCTAAAAACTCTACTCCTAATAAATTCAATAAATGATGTTCACCAAACACATTAGATTGGCTTTGTCCTTTTTCAGTAAAAACACCGTAGGCCCAAAATGGGACCTAAAGTATCTTACAGTACATTTGTTTTTGGCATGCATAATGCCCGTTCTAATCAACTTACTATATTATCTTTTCTTAATTAAACGGGAAGGCTAAAGCCTAATGTCATGTACTCTCAAATGAATAAGTACAAATATAAGGCTTACTACATTTTATTTATAGTGAAAGTGCCCTGAAATATAGGACAAATGTATTTGTTCATCATTTTATTTTTAATTTTTTTAATAATGTCAGCACCGTGCTACGCACGGTACTATTCCCACTAGTTTATTGTAAAAGTTATCAATTGCTCCAATTTTCTCACATAAGTCATTTGAACTTGCCGTCTTGTGCGTTTTGAGGATAACTCAGAGGCTGCTAGCAAATTATTGAGGTGGAAGGGCCAGATTATCCGCAATTAATGCACTTCTACTCGATCAAATAATTTCATTATGATTGTGCATCGACATTTCGTTAAAATATTAGTTCTACATTTGTCCACGTAGTCAGCAACCTCATCTTTTTCTCTGGTTCGTCCTAGGGCTGGAGCTGAACTAAGTAGCTCGGCTCGAGCTCGCGAGCTACTTGGTCAGCAGCTCGAGCTCGAGCTCGGTTGAGCAAGCTCGATCTCAAGCTCGAGCTGCTCGTTAGAGCTATCGAGTCGAGCTCGATCTTGGAAATATAATACTCGAGAGTTCGACGAGCTCTATCGAGATTTTTATAATATATATTTTAATTTTTATTATTGTGAAATGTCAATAATATCCTTTATTTAAAATTATATATAAAATATTAATTTTTATTACTTGAACTTGATTAGGCTTGATTGAGCTTGATTTGAATTAATTACATTTAATTAAATTCAAGCTCGAGCTCGAGCTCGAATTTTAAAATCTTAACGAGCTCGAGCTTAGTTATTTTGCCTTGAGTCGAGCTTGAGTAGTGCACTACTCGAGCTCGAGCTCGACTCGACAGCACTTCGTCCTACTTTATCAACTTGACAGCTGATTAATTAAATCATGGCCAATATTCAACGCCTCTCCTAGCTGTCATCTAAGAGGCATGATTAATGAGAGTTTTCTTAGGATAAATGGTCATTTTAATCCTTCAACTTTTCTACTTAAACCAATTTCGTTATTTTTTTTATTTGGATATTTTTAGCCCCTAAACTTAAATTTACTAGCCAATTTCATCCTTTTATGGTGGCACTAGAGGTGTCAAAATAAGTGATTCGATAGATTTGGACCGATCATAATTAGGTAATAGATATAATTGAATCAATATATTTATATCCATTTAATTAATGAATATGGGTATGGGTAATACCAAATTACCCTTTATGAGTCACTTAAAATTTTACTTATTTTTTCCTATTTTTTCACATGTTGTTTGATAAGAAATAATGATATTTTATTATTATTAAATTGATAAAAAAATTTAAATTTATTTACTTAACACTTATTAAAAGTTGAGTTTAAATGTATAATAATTATTAAATAAATATAAAAAAAAGCGAGTCTAGTTGAATCACTGCCCATCAATTAAATAAATTTAATTAGACACCCATTTAAACCCATTCAAAATTAATGGATAGATTATTGTTAGCCGATTTGAACGATCAAATATAATTAGTTTAAGATTGACACCTCTCGACAGGACCACCAATTAGAAACTTTCTAGGACAAAAGTCACAACCATGTTAAGGATATTATAGGAATTACAAGCCAATGGCCAAAACACAACACAAGGAAAAAGCTAGGGGGACCAAAATTGCAATTTTTAATAAATCAAAGTATATCATCTTCTGCAACTAAACCGAACGTTACTGCTGCATTTCTCTTTCTTATTCTCCTCCCGATTGATTCTCAACTCCGGCCATCACTACCTCCCATTTTTGCCTACCACCTCCTTATCCGACCGCGCCTTCAGACCATCTTCATGGGCAAGTGAAGAAGATTCTTGTCGATCTTCTCATCAGTCACAAATTCTCTGTCATTCGGCACCAAGCTCAAGCGAACAATCAAACAATTGAACCCAACAACATTCACGAAATTTTAGTTACCATTGGCACTCATAATTATTCTCATTAGTGACTCGCTCGTGGAGCCCCGAATCAAACGAGTCGTGTCTTGGTAACTCTCTCAAACCCAGTTATGTTCCCTAGCCCATTATTAACGTCGTCATGAGTTCCACAAAAAATGTTTATATTTTTGTTTTTTTTGGCTTGGGTTGCGGAGACAGTGGGAGCAAGGCACATCTCATTGTCGGCTTGTAGGAGGTACCCCAGGTTCAGGTGAAACTTGCTAGAATTTGAGCTGAGCTCACTACCGGCGGTTGAGCTACGAAATGAGATAACAGAATAATTGATCTTAATCTTCTCCGGTATCGACAATTTTTTCTTCCAAAGATAAGTTTTGATCGCCTAGTGATTCCACTAGCTGGATTTTTGTTGTTGAGAAGATTGGTTAAGTTCTGATGGTGAAGGTGTTGAGGTTTTTATAGATGAAATTTTGACCATGTTTGAACTCTTTTTCTTTTGCATTGGTGGAGAAAATCTGAGAAAAAAAAATACCATGAGGGAAGTTTCTCAGACCAGCTGGAGTATAAATTTCAAAGATTAGCTACGTGATTGTAAGTTGGAGTTTTCTAGTGGCTGTTGGAGTTTTCTATACGGTCTTATCCCTTATGAACATGGAAGTTCTCAAAATGCCTGCTCCACCATTGAAGGAGATGGCTGGTTTTTGGTTTCTTCCAAATTCCACGGCGTGCTCGTATAACAATCGCTTTACTGTATGCAACGACATACCCTATGAACTATAGCAACTTGTACCCCTTGATCTGCATCCAATATATACACAAGCCTGTTTAAGAATCAAATCATCTTTAGGATGTATATTGATTGAAAAATTAATAAGTTCCCATGTATGTTTAACTACCAATGAATTGAACTCTAATCAAAGAAAGTTTGAAGAATTTACCTGTATATTCTACTACTGCCAGTTACGAGTATAGCACGGTAAAATGGGGAAGGAAGGAAGGGAGGGAAAGGAAGGGAGGAGAGTGTGGCAGTGGTGGTTGGTGGGGGAGAAGAAGGGGGAAGGGAGGGGCGGTGGGCGGTGGTAGAGGAGTGAAGAGGATGGTGAGTATGGTGTGGGCAACAAGATGGTAGTGGGAAATGGAGAAAGTGCAGAGAAGATGAGATGGTGGAGATGGGATGGGAGGAGAGGGCTGGTAGGAAGGATTAAAGTAGGAGGTGGGGTGAAAAATAATTTATAAAATTTTAAAAATACCCTAAAATTTTAGAAATTGCCCTGAATCATACGAAGCCGCTTGAAGTTTTAAAATATCCTTTTTAGCTGATAAAGTAGGAGTATGATTGATTTTAGGCGGTGACACCACTGTGGAGGGATTTAATTAGATGTAAAAATCAAATTTAAGGATCACATTAGTCAGAATTAAAGTTTAGGGACTAAATTGGCTTTAGTAAAAATGTTCAGGGATGAAATTAATCATTTTCCCTTTTTCTTAAGTCATAGGATTTAGTCATGATTATCAAATTAGTTTTACAATGTATAGTAATTGGTACAGCATTTAGCCCCCTAAAAAAGAAAAGAAAAATTGGTACGCATCTAATGGAAGCAACTGATTGGCAAGGTTTGGTGCAAATCATTCTATTTTTATTTGTCCTTCAACATTACTTTTTATGAGATGAAAAGTGACTTAACAATCTCAAATAAAAATTTTCATCTCAGTTAATACATACAAAAAGCACTTTTCAGTTTTTTCCATTTAGAGTACATAAGATAAACACATTAAAAAAGAATATGGGATCACTATTAAAACTTCAGAATAATCACCCCTAAGTTGTAACACTTTCATCAAAAAATACAAATTTACCCTTCTGTGAAAATAAATATCATCTGGCCCGCTTATTATTGTGATAGATAAACTATAACTGTAGTTTTTATGGCATGTATATAATTATAGCTAGTGTTAAGGAACATTCGACATGTGCACAATTTAAAAAATATATTTATGTATAAATTATTTTTATTTATATATAAATTTTGACAAATTCCCCTATAAGATTATGGTTGGTTTGATAAATATACTATTTATGGGTTGTTGTATTGGAAACATGTAATTAGATAAGTTCAAAATTAATTTTAAAGAAAATTGGTTACACTAATAATGTTAGTCATTGTGAGCAAAAGGTGGGAGTGGGTAGCAGAAAAGGGGGAAGAGAGGGGTAGAAAGGAAAATCTAGAAAATGGCACACCAACTAGTCACTTGTAAAGATATCATAATGGATAATCAGGTTCTTAGGCCCAATAATTCTTGATATTAATCCAATTTTTATAGATATTTTAGAGGCCCAACTCGTAGGTTTATATTCTAAGGACATCTGGCATCCAAAATGAAAAGCTGAAGATACAAGTATTGGGCTTCTGCTGCATCTTTGGGGTGTTGCAATCCAGGAAAGCTCTAAAATGTGATTCAATTCAATTTAAATTGTGTCTGCTGTTCCCTAGACTTAATTTAATTGGTAGGAATATTAGTCTAGTGATCAAAAGGTTTTTGGTTTGACTTTCGAACCCGCTTTTAGGCTTAGAATCTCCCCTTGAATATTAAAAAAAAGAGAAAAACTTATTGTTGTGCAAATTTATCTTTAATAGGATATGCATGTAAACAACCATTATTCTTTCTAGTTTCTTCAAAATTGTTATCTAATAATTGGAATAACTTTGATTGAAATTTTACTGCAACGAGAGTTGGAAGAATGATTATTGAAGTGGCTGAGTTCAATTGGGTCGATATGTGAATTAAATCCCATTAGTTTTCATTCCATAAATACCTTGCTCATACAAATAAAGAAGTGGCTAAAATTCTGAGAAAGCTGAATACTCCCATCCTATTAAGTTTCACTTTCTTTGTCTTTTTTATCCCTCAACCTCATTCATCATTCTTTATGGTTTTTATAACAAGTTACATAGAATGCCAAAAATTTGGCTTGATATGCCATCAAATATCTAGTACAATTTTAAACGAGGATGTAATAACACCTTCAAAGAAAAATTTGACATGTACACCACATAAGTGATGATAACCCCTAAACTCCCCGTTGATGATTGAACCTTTATCTCCCTTTTCTCTTCCTCTTTCTTTTTCTTCCCCTTTTGATCCATCATTTAAACACTGGAAGTCTAGAACCCTCGCAGCCATAGCATAGCCAAACAGTGAGAACCTACAAAAACTACTACCTACAATTATGGCTCAATTATTATAAAAACCTCATAAAATAAAAAGATGTTTCTAGCCCTAGTAGGTTGCAAAACAATAAAACTATACAAATGTCAAGAAGAGAGAGAGAGAGAGAGAGAGAGAGAGAGAGAGTTTCTAGCTCGAAAGATTCTATTTTCATATATTTTAAATCAAGCACTTCCTCGTTTTGGTACATTTATTATTTCGGTTTGGGCGCCAACACAGAGAGTTAGTACATATAAGACACTCAAAATATAGGGTATGATTGATAATTTGGCCAAATCTCAAGGGATACTGGAGTTATTAACCCTTCTCTCTCTTTTTCTTAAAAATTTTATTTTGTATAAATGACTCACATCCCTTCTCAACATACCTCCAGAATACAAATGGCATATATATATATACGTATATATAATCATATTCAACTTCCTCTATTCAGAAAAGACAAAAAGAGTTTTAAAAAAAAGAATCAAAGGCTTATTTGATCAAAACACCCTTGGATCATAATTTCGATAAATCCAATACCATTCTCAATTTCAGTGTAAAATTTCAAAGCTATGCTAGCAAAAGAGTAAATTATGATACACAAAAAACTCATACATGTTTCAATAATAGCATGCTGATTCCTCTATATATACATAGATATATTGTTATAAAATTCAATCATCAACTGATAGTATACGAAGAACAAATAGAAAAGAGTTCATATAACCTTCTATACTCTATACACTGCCATACTCATGAAGAACTACATACCATAAAAGAAAGAAAAAAAAAAGGCCAACTCTTGAATGGCTTCCCTGAGGAAAATGATGGTCGGGGTGGTTGACAAAATTTGACGTCATAGTGTGGAAAAAGAAGGGATATTTTTCATGGGCCAACGGGGCCCTTCCTTTAGTGTAGAGGGTTGGGTCCTTTTGGAACTTCTCTTGTAGAGTTGTCCACATTACCAAAACTTTCACTCATCATTTTGCTCTTCTACTATTGCATCTAGCTATTGTTGCTCTTAACAACCTTTTTTTACACATTCAAACAAAATTCCCAAAAACAAAAATCAAATCTTTGACTGCATTCTACACCGGATATATCATGGAAAAGAATCCCTTTTAAAAATCTTCCTACATCCCAACAAAAAAATAAGAAATTGGGAAAGGCAAGAAAAAAAGATTGTACCATTGTGTTGAAGCTTTGACAAATTTTTCCCGTTCTTGTGGAATGGCTTTTGGTTTTAGATGGAAGCTATGAGCAAGAGGTGTAGAAATCACCAAGAAAATTAGTCCAAGGATGAGAAAGGAACTGACTGCTCTGTAAACTACCATTTTTCTTTTCAGCCGAGATGGAATTTGTCAACCCTTTTCTTTTCTCATAGTAATACACTTTGAAAAACAAGCACACTGAATTAGAGTGGAAGGTTTTGAACTTTGAGGGGAGAATCGAAAGCAAAGAATATTTCGAAATTGCCAGCGGAGACACTGCTCACGATGAGAGTTCGTTGCTGAAGCACTTTTCTGCGAGTCCTTCAGGTGTCGCATTCGATCTAGAGAAAAGAAAAGCTACTCTACTTAGCAAGCAGAAAAAGAAAAAAATAAAGATGAAAACATAAGACAAAAGACAAATCCAAATGTCAGTTTAATTGTCTCCGTAATTTATGTAATTTACTACATTTAAAACAAAAGTTATTTATATGAATTACCAGAAACACTCATCATTTGAGGAGAGTTTAATGATTATTACAGTGTTTTATGGGGAGGAATTTGTCTTTTGGAATTGTACGAATACCTCGTTCGTCCATGAAAGTAGGGGAGATGTCTTTTGTCTATTTTTGTAGGTGGCAACATGCCTTTAGGTTGTGACACATGGAGTTTTGTTAGTGGACATGGTACGGTTCCTTGGTGGCCAAGTAGTAAAGGAGGAAACAGAAATGGAAATGGAAGTGGAAGGTCTTGATAAGAAAAAGGAAATGGATAATCTTGATCAGTTCAATGAAGGTTTCCCACAAAGCTACAAGCCAGGATTGCCTGATTCTAACCATTCTGAAGACTTCTTTGCAGATTTAAGCGAATTGGAAGCAGACCCTCTGAATCTCTTGTTCACACAAGGATATTCTGGCGATGAAGAGCGCGAAAACAAGAACTTGGAATTGTTCAGTTTGTATGACTGGACAACCAATAACAGTTCCATGACCACGACCACGATTATGACCACGACGACCATCACAAGTTCTCTGGAAGAAGCAAAGAAAGGTTCATAGAAAGAAACAAAAGTGAGGATGACAACGGCTTAGTATGATCATTTTTTACAGAAAAAAGCTTAGTACAATCATTTGGGTCGAGTCATTAACATTTTTATGCCAAATGAAAATCATACAAATAGTTACTTACATATTACTTTGTACCTTTTACATCCTTCCCATAAGAAAAACGTACATTTTTAGATCCTTGACTCATTTTTACTATTATTCTATTGGAGAAAAATCAGATGTAGTT